TTTTTAAGACTATAATCATGGAAGGAATCCTAGTGGCACAAATGCACTTGTGACTGTCCACCGAAAGGTTGGAGGTTCAAACCCCCCACCACAAAGCTGTGGCAGTCAGCTTCTGTCAAGATGACAACCTTGGAGACCCTATGGGACAGTTTTACTTTCTAGGGTCGCTGGGAGACAGAATCAACTCGAGGGTGATGGGTATGGTTTTTGGATTTTTCATCTTTATGGGGGCAGAACACTGAGCGCTTAACTATTGAGATACCAGGACTCCTTCATGAAAACATCAAAAGAATTAAAGTAGATCAGGAAAATGAAAAGTGTGGAAATAGATGGCTGCCTTAGCGAGAGGAATATATGTCCATGATCTCATTGGATCATGGGAGTCTGTGAGGGGTCTTCTCTGCTGTCCTGGAGCCGAAAACCAAGCCCATGGAAGGGGCACATACTTGCCTGCTGATTGGAGGCAGTGCCAAGTGCAGGGCTGGTGAGTACATCCATCAACTGGGAGCCACATTCATTTTACCTGCGCCACCTGACCTCCCTGTCGCCTGGCGCCAGTCCCAAGAGGTGGTTGAGATTAATTCCTTTCTCTTTCACAGGTGATGAATGGAAGGCATTACGGTGCAGGGGCCTGACGTCGTCAGCCACGCACCAACTGTGTGGCCTTGGGTCAAGTCTGCGCTGCCTCCAGGAACCTGTCTCCCAGGCTGGCCCTGTGCTCCGGGCAGAGTGGGCATGTGGGCGCGGGGACTTAGCATTGGTAGGTGCTGATGAAAATGGCAGTTCTGCTGACTTGCCGAGGAATCCTGGTGATACACTCATTAAGTGGTCAACAGCTAACTGAAAGGTGAGCAGTTTGAACCTACCAGCTGCTTCCTTAAAGATTTACAATCTTGGAAACCCGATGGGGCGGGTCTACTCCGTCCTGTAGGGTCAGTGTGAGTTGGAATGGACTTGACGTCAACTTGTACTGTGACTTGCTCAGAGAGGGGATGTGCCCTTTCAAGGTCGGGAGACTGGAGTCCACCCTCCTGACTTCCAGGTTGTGGGCCATCTGTCCACTGGCCCCAGAGGCTGCCCAAGGGCCCCCGGGGCCCATAGCACAGGGCAGGTGGCAGGCAGGCAGGGGGCTCAGTGAGGCCAGAGGGACCTGAACTCCACCGGAGCCTCAGTCCTCATCGTTCCCCCCCACTTGCTCCAGTCCCGTCTCCTTCCACACCCTCCCTGGCCTGTCCCCAGGGAGGGAGCAAAGATTCATCAGTTATGGCACCAGCTGGCAGGCGGCAGTGAGAAGGACAAGAGCGCCAGCTGCCCAGAGACTCCCTGGCGAGGGCCCGGACCAGGGGGGAGGCGGTGAGGGCGCAGGAAGGGAGGACGGAAGCAGTGGGCAGAGTCCGTGACCAAAACGTCTGGCACGATCGCTTGGCCCTTCCCTGCCCTGCCTCCTTCCACGTGGTCCACACCAGCTGGGCCTCCTTCTCCCTCACCACCCGCCCTGCCTTTCCAGGCTGTGGAGATTGCCTGATGGAGCTTGGTGGAGCCGAGTTGGACTTGCTTGTCAGCTTGGTGATGTCCTTGGACAAGTCACTCCACCTCTGTGGGCCTCAGTTTTTCCCTTGGCTCTAAATTCAAACCAAACTCACTGCCTTCAAGTTGATTCCAACCCATAGCGACCATAGAGGACAGAGTAGAACTGCCCCCTGGGGTTTCTGAGGCTGTACATCTTTATGGGAGTAGAAGTCCTCATCTGCCTCTTGAGGAGGGGCTGTAGATTCGAACCGCTGACCTTGGGGTCAGCAGCCCACAGTATTAATCACTGTGTTACGAGGACTTCTTTCTTGGGTCAGACTAGGGTAATAGTACCTGTCTTAGGGTCATGGTTAGTAGAGACGATGACACCAGTAAGGAATCCAGAGCTGGGATGTAGTAATATGTTGTTAGGTAACGTTGAGTCAGTTCTGACTCACAGCGACCTAATGCACAATAGAACGAAACACAGTCCGGTCCTGTGCCATCCTCGCAATTGTCATTACACCTGAGTCCACTGCTGCCGCCACTGTGTCAATCCATCTTTCGTTGACGTCCTTCTCCAGGGACTAGACCCTCCTGATAACATGTCCGAAGTATGAGAGATGCTTCCAAGGAGCATTCTGGCTGTACTTCTTTCAAGGACAGATTTGTTTGTGCTTCTGGCAGTCCATGGGACTTTCAATATTCTTCGCCATGGGAGGTAGAATTTGTACCTAACCCCAATCTTCTCTTGGGTGAGGACAACAATGGGTCCAAGTTCCCATCAGCCTTTGTTGTTGTTCTTCAGTGCCCGGGAGTTAACTTTTGACTCATGTTAACCCCATGTGTGACAGAGTACATCTGCCTCATAGGGTTTCCTAGGCCGATCACCAGGTCTTCTCTACCACAGAACCACTGGGTGGGTTCAAACTGCAGACTTTTCAGTTTGCAGCCGCGCGCTTAATGGGTGCACCACCAGGGCTCCTCAGGAATGTGGTAAGGGCTAATAAATGAATGAATGCATGACAAGGGCCTGGCCTGGGGCACAGCGACAACACACCATCTGCTATCTCAGCTGTTCATTTCAATTTCGTTTCCTTAAGAAGCTGAGTTTTTAAATTTTCATGAATTGAAAATTTTATCTATGAGGGTAAGTCACAAAAAGTATTGCGACAAAGTCATAGAAACCTTTATTAAACCAAAATATCCAAATGGGAAGCTTTGTTTCTCTACATAGCTTCCATCTAGGTCAGCGATTGTTATTGTTGTTAAGTGCTGTTGAGTTGGTTCTGACCCATAGTGACCCTGTATAGAGTTTCCAAGGACTGACTGGTGAGCTTGAACCTCAGACCTTGTGGTTCAAACCAACTTTGCAGTACAGTGCATTAACCTACAGGGCCACACCAGGACTCCAAGTCAGGGATAGGGAACCTTTTTATTTCCAACAGCCATTTGGATATTTATAACATCATCCGTGGCCCATACAAAATTATCAGCTTAAAAATTAGCCTGCTACATTTGGTCAAACATTTAATTAACTCATCCCTAATGTGGAAATTATCAGCTGCTCCACGGGAGAAAGATGAGGTCTTCTGCTCCCGTAAAGATTTACAGCCTCGGAAACCCTGTACAGGGTCGCTATGGATCAGAACTGACTCGACGGCACTTAACCACAACAATGTGATGGCCTAAGGAGCTGTGGTAGCGTAGTGGTTCTGAATTGGGCTGTGAACCGCAAGGTCAGCAGTTTGAAACTACCAGCTGCTCCGCGGGAGAAAGATGAGGCTTTCTGTTCCCGTAAAGATTTACATTCTCGGAAACCCTATTCAGGGTCGTTATGGGTCGGAACCAACTTGATGGCACTTAACAACAACAATGTGATGGCCTGGTGTGGTGCTGTGGGTTAATGTGCTGGACTGCAACGTTGTTTGAACCGCAAGGTCAGCAGTTCAGTTCAAGCTCACCACCTGCTCCTCAGAAACCCTATACAGGGTCACTATGGGTCGGAACCAACTCAATGGCTCTTAGAAACAACAACAACGTGATGGCTAAGGAGCTCTGGTAGCGTAGTGATTATGCGTTGAGATAATAACCTTAAGATCAGCAGGAGAAAGTTGAGGTTTTCTGTTCCCGTAAAGAATTTATAGCCTCAGAAACCCTACGCAGGGTCGCTATGAATCGGAACGACTCCACAGCACATAACCAATGTGATGGCAGGAACTGTGGTTGCCTTGGCAGGGCTACACCAAATGATTTTGTGGGTCTTAAAAGGCCCGAGGGCTCGACATTCCCCACCCCTGGTCTAGGTCTATAACTAGCTTCTCAAGGCAGGGCTGCCTTCTCTCTAATCCTTCCCCGAAGAATTCCTCATTCTTCAGTTTGCACCACATGCAGTTTGGGCATCCTCGAAGGACGCAAATCGTGTTCCCTCTCAATGTTGAGTTTGGGGAGCAAAAAGATGTCTGAAACGGCTAGATGAGGGCTGTAGGGTGGATGGAGTAAAGTTTCCCAATGAAATTCTCCTATGACAGTCTTTGCAATCCTTGAAGAATGAGTAGGCACAGATCATGATAGAAAAATATGCCGTGGTGCAACTTTCCTGGCCTTTTGCTCAGCAGTGAAGTTTTCCATTTTCTTTACAACTTCTTCCTAATAAACCCCCATGATTGTCCTGGGTCCTTCCAGAAAACCTATCAAGGTGACCCCTTCGAAATTCCAAAAAACAATTGCCATACTGTCTGAGCTGACCTCTCTGACTTGAATTTAACTGGCCCAGCAGATCCTTTCAGAAGCCACTGTTCTGACTGGACCTTTTTATTGCAGGCAGCCTCAGGAGACTAAGACAAGTGTGTTACTGAGAGAACATGGCTGCAGCCATCCACTCATCACAGAGACATGTATGTTTTAATGCATTTTGTTGGGAAGAAACCCGTGCCTGGATGAACTGGAATCCTAATATCAATACTTTTTGACTCCCCCTTGTAAAGAGCCACACGCAACTTGTGGTTACCCTGTTTGTTGGACAGCGCAGCATTAAAAAAATGCTTTAACTTCTCTGAGACTTCATTTTCTCATCTCTAAAATGGGGTTCCTAACACCTAATTTGGAGGGTTGTTTGTTATGACTAAATAATAAAAATCCCTCAATGATTCAGAGTTAAGCGCTTGACTACTTGCTGAAAGGTTGGCTATTCGAACCCACCCAAGGGGCCTTGGAAGAGAGGTCTGGCGATTTAGTCCTGAAAGGTCACAGTCATGAAAATGCTCTGGGACAGTTCTATTCTGCACATATGAGGTGGCCAGGAGTTGGAATCCACTGACAACAACCACAAAGCAGCTCAGGGCCATGGTTGGGTCACAGTGATAGGGGGCGCTGTGATCATAACCCTTTGGCTGCCTTTCTCTATCTGACCCCACCCTGCCCTCTGCTCTTTCTCCTCACTGAGTCTGAGACTTGAGAACTCTCGATTTCCATCCCAGGGAGGCCCTCACCCCTGCGAAGATCCGCCCCATGATCTTTGGCCTCTTCAGAAACTGCACGGCCTCACTGTCAGCCAGGTCCTGGAGACTCTCTGGGACATGCATGGTGACAACTCTCCTTCCAGGGTCCAGGTTGGCAGGTCAGGGGTGCTGGGCTCTGCCTGCTGAGCCCACCAGATGCTCCAGGAACCCCTGGGGCAGGTGGCTGCAAAACAAGAGAGAATAGTGGATGTTAGGGTCAGGGGCGCGGCTAAGGGGGCTGCCAGCGGCCCCAGGAGACCACGAAGGTTCCCAGGAGTAGGGGTGCCAATGATGGGGCTGCTGGGGTCATCAGGAGGGGGGGGGGCTGCTGAGGTGCCCAGGAATTTGTGGTATGTTTGAGAGGGATGCAGGGGACTCTAGGAGTGGGAGAGTGCCTTTGTTGCGACTGCTGGGGTCCCCAGAGCAGAGGGATGTTGGGGGAAAGGGCTGCAGGAGGTTCCAGGAATGGGGAGGTTTGGGGCAAAGGGGCTTAGGAGTTAAGTTGTAGGTGAGGAAAGTGTTGGGGGGTCCTATGAGTAGAGTAAGTGGGATGCAAGGTGAGGGGACTGCTGGGGGACCTCCGAAATAGGGGACATGAATAAGAAGGCTGCTGAGAAGTTCCCAAAAGGGTGTGGGGTGACAGGGGTCTTCGAGTCAGGGCACAGGGCAAGAGGGCAGCTGGGAGTCCTGGAGGTGGATGGAATATTTGGGGACCATGGCCCTGACACAGGAGCCAATGGGCTCCTCTGTGAGAGGACCCAGGGGGCGTTTTCTGGGCAGCGCGGCATGCTAGAATACAGGTCAGAACTCCTGGGAGGGCTGAACCAAAGGAATTCTTCTCAGCTTTTGGGGTGACAGCACCCATAATAGAGAACCCAGGCATTTCAGGGTATATTTTAGGGTGTCCTTGTGATTTGGGGTTATTTCCCTATAAGCAAGGGCCTTCCTGATGATTCACCTCCGTCGTCATATAAATGCATCTCCTCGGTTAGTTGAGGGGAACACGGCCTAAAAAAGGAACTGTCCCCTCAGAATTAGGAGGATATACTTCTGGCGCAAAGATACCTTCTTAGAATCGGAATCTTCCGTTTTAAGGACGTGTGAAATGGGGGTGATAGGTCTTGGGGTGACACTCGTACTCTGGAAGACCGGTCTGCGTCACCCGGAAGTTAGCCTTTCTTCTGCCCGTCCTGCCCCCTCTAGGTCCCAGGTGCCACCTCAACCTTCTTTTGGTTCCGCTTTTTCCCGCCTTTTCGCTGCTCCAGAGCTGATTGGCTGCGCCTAAGTCACGCCCCCTCTCTTTCCCCGCCTACTCAGGCACTGGCGGTAGGGGAGGCGTGGCCTCAATGGACGTTAGGTCGTTCGCCGTTGACTTACGGCGCGAGGAAACCTGTCTGGACCCACCCTCCCGAACGTCTTGCATCTGCCCCGCCCCTTTCCCTTTGAAGCACGCGGACAAGGAGACACTGCGACGGCGCATGCGCTACGTCCCAAAGCTGCAAGAGGAAAAGAAAGGTCGACAAATGACGCAAGCGCAGTTGAATAGAGCGTTAGAAATGGCCGGCGCAAAAAAAAATAAATAAATAAATAAATAACCCAGGGTTTGGCGCATGCGTTTTACTGCTCTCTGAAGCCGAACCCCAGGGGCCCCGGACGTCTTTGTGCACATGCGCGGGGAGCTCTAAGACAGTCGTGCGTTGGCTAAGGTGAGGGAGAGGGCGGGGGATTGCATGGCTGGGGGAGGGCGGCCCTACACCCTCGACGTGGCCTTTGCGATCATCAACTGTGCTTCCAAAATTCCCCTCCCCGCTTAGGCCTTACAGAAACCAGTTGTACCCCTACCGGCCTTCTGGACCCTGAAAACACCCCTGAACCTAGTAATCTCTGACCCCTGCTGGGATCCAGGCCAACTGAACAAGTATGGGAGGGGGCAGGCTAGAGGGGCTACTAGGCGAGTGAGGGGATGGACTCTGAGCCCTTTGAGGTGGGGACACGGAGGTAAGGGGGCACTTTTCCTCCAGATGACTGCCTGTTCCTCTCGTTAGGCTCCAGGGAACGAACGGGTGACGTTATGCTGCACGTAGTCCGGGGGGTCTGGGGGTCCAGGGTCCGGGTCTGGCCCGTGCTCCTCGGGCCCCCCCGGGCCCTGTCATCGCTGGCAGCCAAAATGGGGGAGTACCGCAAGATGTGGAACCCCACGGAGCCGCGCAACTGGGCCCAGCAGTACCGCGAGCGCTTCATCCCGTTCTCCAGGGAGCAGCTGTTCCGCCTCCTGATACAGGTACTACCAGTCCCGGGTCCCAGAGCCCGGGGACTACGACTCCCATGAGACTTCGCGGCATCAAGGCCCTCTGTGCTATGGAAGGCTGCTCCGATGCCTTTTGGGAGTTGTAGTCTAAGCCCCCCCCAATCATCCCACGTGGGTCAAGCTGTGTTGGAAAGCAGGGGGAAGACCTCCTAAATGGGGATGCAGGATGGAGGTGTATTCTAGGAGGTTGGACAAGTCATACTTTGTACCCTGTTCCAAATGAGGATAAGAGGCATTGCTACTGTTTAATAATATCAGTTTATCCTCAAAGTCACAAAGTCACAAACTACAATTAGTTCTTTTCATGCTGTTTGAGCATATGGTAGGCACTGTGCTAAGCATTTTGCGTTATTGAATTATCAGAATGACCCAGTGACATCCTTATTTCACATACGAGGTATCTGAAATGTACCACGGAAGGAAAATGTCTTGCCCAAGGCCATGTAATAACTGAGTGTGAACTGAAGTCTAACTCCAGACTAGGGCCAAGATTAGGGTGAGGCTAGTCAGGCACTCACAAGATTCTAAGAGGGATTACATGAGAGTCCTAGTGTTGCAATGGTTAAGCACTTGCTTAACCCATTGCAACCAAAAGTTTGGCAGTTTGAACCCACCCAGTGGCTCTGAGAGGAAAAGACCCAGGGATTTACATCCGTAATATGACTGTAATGTCACATGGGTTTGTTATGAGTTGGAATCGACTCGATGGCACCCAACAAAAGCTACTGTACCTCAACGGCACCTCAGTCATGTCCCTGTAATACTGGTCTTGTTCCAGAGCTTGAGTGTTTAACCCATCATTGTTCCGTGCTTAACGTGACCATTCATTCCTTTAACAATTACTTATTGAACGCTTGCTCTCTGTATTAAGTCCTATGCTAGACTGCACACACACAGTTCCTAAAACGAAAACCAAACCCGCTGCCACTGAGTTAATTTCCACTCATAGCAACCCTATAGGACAGAGTCCAGCTACACCTTAGGGTTTCTGAGGCTGGACAGCTTTATGGGAATATGCCGCATTTTCTTGCCGTTTCAGAGCAGCTCGTGAGTTCGAACTCCAGCTTAACCCACTGCCCCAAATTTTCATCATTGGATCTGACTCACAGCCACTCCATGCATACAGAATAGAACTGCTCCATAGGGTTTTCAAGGATGTGAGTTATGGAAGCAGATCCCCGCCTCTGAGTGTGTTCAAACTGCCAACTTCTCAGCTAGTATCTAAGTTCTTCACCGTTTGCACCACCAGGTAATTCCCCTCCTCATAGACACACATATATTGTTGCTGTGTGCCATAGAGTCAATTCTGATTCATAGCGACTCCATATGAACAGAGTTGTTTTTGTGAAGTGCCATCAAGTTGGTTCCGACCCATAGCAACCCTGTATAAGGTTTCCAAGGAGCAGCTGGTGAGCTCGAACCACCGACTTTGCAGTTCAAACTGACTTTGCAGTCCAACCTACTGTGCCATACCCAGACTCCATGTGATAGAGTAGACCTGCCCAACAGGGTTTCCTAGGCGGTCATCTTCATAGGAGCACATTACTATTTTTTTTTCTGCCATAGAGCAGTTGGTGAGTTTGAACTGCCAGCCTTTTGATAGCAGCTGAGTGCTTAACCACTGCACCACCAGAGCTCCGTACACAAAAACATTTAAAAACCCACTGCCCACTCCATGGAGTGGATGGTGGCTTTGAACTGGGGATTCTTCACACACATAACCAAATTTTTTAAAATCCCAAACCCACTGACATCAACTTGATTTCGACTAACAGTGTCCCTATATGGAGCTCTGGTAGCGTAGTAGTGGCGAATCAGGCTGCTAACCTCAAGGTCGGCAGTTCGAAACTACCAGCTGTTCTGTGGAAGAAAGATGAGGCTTTCTGCGCCTGTAAAGATTTGCAGCCTCAGAAACCCTGTGCAAAGTCACTGTGAGTCGGAACCGACTCCACGGTACTTAACACCAACAACATATGAGAGTAGAGCTGCTTCCTAGGGTTTCTGAGGCTGTAAATCTTTACAGGAGCAGACAGCCTCATCTTTTTCCCAAGAAGCAGCTGGTGGATTTGAACCATTTACCTTACAGTTAGAAGCCCAACACTTAACCCAGTACGTCCTCAGTGTTGGTGGTTATGTGCTGTGGAGCCAGTTCTGACTCATAGCGACCCTGTACAGGGTTTCCGAAGCTGTAAATCTTCACGGGAGCAGAAAGCCTCATCTTTCTCTCGTGGAACAGCTGGTAGTTTCGAACTGCTGACCTTGAGGTTCGCAGCCCGATTCCTAACCATTATGCTACCAGAGCTCCTTACATCCTCAGTAGTACACTCGTATGTTGTTGTTGTTGTTAAGTGCCTTTGAGGCAGTTCTAAGTTAGAGAGACTCTGTAGAGGGCTTCCCAGGAGTGATTGGGCTTAGCAGTCCAGTGTTTATCTTACAACCATACTCAGATACATACACATAAATACATAGATACATACATGTGTAACATGTACATAAAATCTCAGCACATTCACTCAAAAAGAAGGTATGATCTTCTTTTGCAGATGAGTAAACTGAGGCTCAAAGAGATGAAGTCACCTTTGCAGGACTCTGAGAAAAGAAGCACAAAGAAATGATTAAGTACCTGTGCTCTGGAGTCAGACTGGACCTTGGCCAGTCACTTCCTGGAGCCTGCTATTCCCATCTGAAAATGGGAGTCAGGATTCCATCAACCTCCTGGAATCCTCTGGAGGAAGATAAATGGCCAGCAGTGCTCGGCACATAATAAGCATTGTGCGAAAGTTGGCAAGTGTCTTAGTTCCCCAGGGCTGCTCTAACAAAGTACTACACGCTGGTTGGTTTAACACACTGGACATAGATTACTTCACCATTCTGGAGGCTGCAAATCCAGAGTCAGGGTGTCGGCCATGTTGGTTCCCTCTGAGAACTCTGAGGGAGTGGATGCTCCAGGCCTGTCCTATTCCTGGCGTTCCCTGTCCCCTGGCTAGTACAGACATCACTTCAATCTCTGCTTCTTTTTCCTTCTGTGTCTCCACTCTGTCATAAGCACGCCTCTCAGTGGCATGATCTCCTATTAGCAGATGTTGTTGCTTGTTAAGTGGCGTCGAGTCAATTCTGACTTATAGTGACCCTGTATAGGGTTCCCAAGGAGTGGTTGGTGGGTTTGAACCACTGACCTTGTGGTTAACAGTCCAGTGTTGGTCCTACAGTGTCACACCAGGACTCCTGTTAACAGATGGCATTTTCAAAGGCCCTGTTTCCAAACATAATTACATGGCCACCTTACAGGGATACAGGCTAGAACTTCAACGTTTGTTACTGTTGTTAAGTGTTATCCAATTGGTTCTGCTTCATAACAATCCTATATAGGGTTTCCGAGAAGTGGCTGGTGTGTTTGAAGCACCATCCTTGCAGTTCAAACCGAATTTGTAGTCTAGTGTTTATCCTACAGCAATCAGACAGAACTTCAACATAGCTTTTTTTTTTTGCTTCCGGAGGTGCTGGAAGACACAATTCCATCACAGTGAATAGGTGTCAAAGCAGAACCTTGAACCTCTAGCTCTCTATACCAGCTGTTTTTCATACTAGCAGTCTGCCTCAGTTTCTTGGTCAATAAAATGGATGCATCTTCACCAAACGAAACAGAGTGAGAAATCTCAGGACTCTAAACCAACCAATAGTATGGGGTCCTGGTATGGCACTGTAGGATAAGCACTTGATCACAAAGTCTGTTTGAACCACAAGGTGGGCGGTTCAAATTCACCAACCACTCCTCAGAAACGTTATACAGGGTCACTATTACGAATCGGGCTGTGAACCTTAAGGTCAGCGGTTCGAAACTACCAACCGCTCCGCGGGAGAAAGATGAGGCTTTCTACTCCCGTAAAGATTTACACCCTCGGAAACCCTGTACAGGGTCACTATGAGTTGGAACCGACTCGACGGCACTTAACAACAACAACATGGGTCAGAACCGACTCAATGGCAATAGTATGCATAGGCTGCGAGGGAAATCATTTGCCTTTCTTCCCTTCCCAGCTGTTGACTCTGCCACAGATGAGGGGGGCAGGGAAAGAGAATTAAAGGAAAGTCTTACCTCCTGACGTATAGGAATTCCACTCCAGCCCAGCGGAGAAGGCGGCTCTCGAGGAGTTCTCGGCCCACGTGGACTTCTGCACTTTGTTTCACTACCACCAAATCCTGAACCGACTGCAGGTGAGGACAGGGGGCCCTCCAGCCCTGTTGTGCGTATTCGTCTGCTCCTTGATTCAGCAACTACATTCACTGGGCATGTGCTTGGAGCCTGGCCCCGTCTGAAGCGTCCTCAGAAGTGAGCAGAGAGATGGTGCCACTCTCTTCTGGGGCCAGCATCCCAGTTGCGGTGACTAAACCCCACACCAAACCCATTGCCACAGAGTCGGTTCTGACCCATAGCGACTTAATAAAGTGGAGTAGGACCGCCCCATCGGGATCTTTATGGAAGCAGACTCCCACATCTTTCTTCCACAGAAGTGCTGGTGGATTCAAACTGCTGACTTTCCAGTTAGTTGAAGCATGCTTAACCACTGAGCCACCAGGGCTCCTGTGGGAGCAGCTGGATAGTACTCCTGTGATCAGGAGAATCCACGTAGACAAGAGACGGGGTTGCAGGAATGAGACCGAGGCTGTATCAGCTTTGAGAGTCAGGGACCAGTGAGGGGGATGGACCAGCAGCAGCCAGCCAAGCAGCTGGAACGCCACAGACCAAGGGGTGGGGTGTCTAGGTGCTGAATTCTCACCAGCCTCCTCCCAGCATCCTGCTTGTGCCAAGGGTTCCCAAGACCACCCTGACGTTCAATGATTCACTAGAAGGGCCTACAGAGCTCAGAAAAACTATCACACTCACAGATACAGTTTATTACAGGGATAAAGATCCACATTGAAATCAGCCGAGGGACCCAGCAACTACTGCGGACCGCTCTAAACTGGACCAT